GGTGCAGAACGCCCCGGTGGTGGAGGTAGTTCAAGCCGTCAAACATTTGCTTGGCGAGATCCTTCTTGTGAGCAGCGGTGAGGGTGAAGGTCGGGTGATTAATGAGACCTGTGAGATCGTGCGAAAGGTATTCGAAGACCATAAAGCACTCATTCCTCTCCACCATAACTTCGAGTAAACTGACCACATTATGGTTGCGAAGGTGCTGGAGGAGCTTGATTTCTCGGACAGCCGTAACAGGGAACCCGTCTTTCTCGCCTTCCATACGTATCTTTTTGAGGGCCACCTTCCTTTGGGTATAGACGTGTATTGCCTTAAAGACTTTTCCGTAGGTGCCAGCACCAATGACGGACTCGTTACCTGGCTTTCGGTAATAAACGGAATCGGACTTCGCGTACTCTTCTGGGAGAGTAGGCCGAGGCTTTGGTCGGGTTAATACCCGGGGTTGCTTCACGCCTGGAGAACGTCCCCGAGGACCACGAGGTGGACGAGGGTCCTGCCGACGATCATCTTTCCTGCCTTCGTGTCGCTGGTCAAAGCGGCGATCTTCTTTTCGGTTGTCGCGAATATCTCTAGGCTCACGGAAATCACGCGACTCTCGTCGAAAATCTCTCCGGTCGCGTCTCCCTCTGTCCCGATCACGATTTCGGTGCCGATCCCGGTCTCTGTCTCGATCGCGGCGGTCAAAGCGTGGTTCAGGTTTGAATCGCGGCGGTGGACCGAGAGGCACTCTGCTGCGAGGAGGCTCAGCAACACGAGGTGGAGGTTCTCGAGCCTGCATCCTCTGTGCCAAATCTGGAACTGGCTTGGGGGCAGGGGCAGGTGTGGTTTTGGCTTTGAAGGCGAAGCTAAACTTGCCGCCTTTATTCGGCGTGGAGTTGGTGTCGGACGGTTGGGTAGGTCGAGACATCTTCTGAAAATCCCCATCCTCGGAACATGGTTTTGAACCTTGATCCACGCCTTGTAGATCTCTGCTCGGAGACCCGAAAGCGTGGTCTCTGTCTCCCTCCCCTGGGAAGCTCTGCTCTTCTGCCGCTGGGAGAGGCGCAGGACTTTGTGAGGGCTCCGCATGAGTGGTATGAGGGCTGGGAGAGCCGCCGCGGCCGCGAGCACTCCATTGGAAACTGTTAAAACGGCCTCGCCCGGACGGCCCAGTATTGTAGGATGAGTGACCAGAGCCAGAAAATCGCCGGTCGCGGCCATGATTTTGGAAGTTTCCACGATAACCTGAATGCCCACCACGGTAGGAAGGACCCGAATACGATTGAGGATGGTTGGCTGGACCAGTCGGCGGAACTTGACCCTGATTGTACTGGTCTTGCGAGCCGCCCTGTGAAGGATAATTGTTTTGACGATATGGAGATGAATGTGAAGGCCTGTTCGCAGCGTAGTGTTAGCCTCGCGCTAATGTTGATGTGCTTATGATTTAGTAAAGAAGAAAGCTCACCCTTGCGGCCTGTGATAAGGAGATTGCCCACTCAGACCCGCACGTCCTCCAGGGTGAGGTGACGTAGATTGAGGGGATCCCTGGTAGGAATTACTTGATGGGCCGTACTTTGGTGAGGTGGAGTATTGACTCGTGTCCGCCTGTGGTCGTGAGGGGTGAGAGCGCAGGTTATTATTGGCATTCAATGCCCGCTCTCCATGGAAAGGGAACGTTTCACGCGCACTGGGGTCTCCGTCTGCAGGGACGCCGGTAATTTCAGCATCGAAGCTGGGGACTGGTCGTGGGGGGGATGGAGATCTGAAGGAACTGTCCATCGCAGACTGAATTGGCCTAGGATTCATTGTTGCGTCAATCCTGGAGCTGTGACGCGAGGTCGCTGAAAATCTTGAACCAGCTGAGATAACGGAATGGCGAGAAGGCGATCGATGGCGATACTCTTGGTCGATATCGCCTGCAGGGTCCGGGCTGTTAAATCGCTCGCGGGGGTTCCTCGGTGACCTGGGGCCACGTGGAGGGGACTTGAGACCCTTGAAGCGATCGGATTCCTTCCTACGCCGGTCTCTTCCTCTTCTAGGAGACCTTCGACGCGCCCTGCCACGCCCCGGAAATCGTCCACGTTTTTTATGAGGGTAACCCCGATCGAATTCGTCAAACTGCTCCGAGGCTGGATGGTGATGGCTAGGGTCTTGTCGAGGTGAGTAGGATCTCACTGGCGACGGACTCTGCGTTCTCTTTCGCTTGAATGGAGGAGGTGCAGATGGAGAGTTGTCCCTTCGATAATCTCTTCCGGTCGGTCTCTCGCCTTCCAAAGGCTGAAGCTCGACAAGTTGGTGATGATCTTGATTCTGGCGGTGTCTGGGCTCAGAGTACTGCAGACCGGATGAACCACGCGGAGAGGTGTTATTGGGAGAGAATTCACGATATGAACGAGTTCCTCCAAGCTCTGATTGGGGATGAGCACGCGAAGGTGGCGGCGACCGTAACGGGGGAATAGGTGCGTTCCCTTTGGACCGGCGACGACGCTCTCTGTCGCGGAATCTGTCCCTCCCTCTATCACGGTTCGACCCTCGAGGCCTCTGCCTTCCTCTGTCCCTCTGATCTCTGGTATCGATGGGGGCGCTCCACTGGTCTCTCAACAGCGGACTGTTACGGGACCCAGCCATGAAAATTTCTTGAGGTGCATCTGGCTTTAAAAACTAGTATAGTATGAAATAAAGGCAGTGGGCATGGGATGAACCCGCCGACTGGAGAACGGATGAATTAGCGTGTAAGTGTGATCGTAGGATATTCCGGTGGAGCCTTGTCCTTCGTCTAGTCAATTCGGAGCGTGTGTCGGCCGCGTTCACTTTTGGTAAGTTTAGTTGGGCGGGAAAGAAGCATGAATGGATAATGCGGAGGGTGGTTTTTCCGAGGTGGGAAGGGCCCTAGTTGGGAGTATATCACTGTGAGTAGTGCGCAGTGACGAAAAAAGAAAGAAAAAAAGAAGTAAGGGAACATGAGAAGGCAAGCTTCTCAGTCAAAGGTAAGGAAGGATTAGTGGGGAAAGCCTGGGTGGAAAATCCCCTGAGAGAAGACGCACCTGGGGATTTCGCTCAAACAGAAAAGGCCACACTTGAAAATTATGTGACTTGGTGAACAGTAACTGTCACGCCGACCAGTGACAGTACTGACTCTACTAGTTGTTCATCTATGGGGTAAGGTGCTGCGTGGGAAGTCGTTCGAGCCATCATGTGTACGCCTGGCATAGCACGAGTGCACTTGACGAGTCGACAAGCTAATACTCCGCTTTTCCCACAGTTGAGCTTCCACTGCCGTGTTCGCCTGACACACTGTCGGATCTACTACGAATGTTGCTCGTTGAACCCTGGCTTCAAGCAGAGGGCGATGGAAGACCGAGTCACCATAAGTACAATGCTGCTGCCACGGGTTTTGCTCACTCAGCTCGGGCAGCATGAAACACTGTCCTTCCATGAAGAAGGCCCCAATTATGCCTCGAGTTTGGCCGGTACCATCGGCTAGAAATGGCAGAGTCTGGAGATCGTTGACTGCCCTGTTTCTCTCACTCTTTGCTCTTTCCGTGTCTTATACTCTCCCTTAACCAAATCTCAGGAAAAATGTGATGCCCGAGCTGATACTTGTGCGTCATTCTTTTCCAGATGGTCAGCTTCCAGGTTCTTCCCGTGCCTGGCTCAGGAGCCTCTTGCTGCGAAGACATCTTTCGTTGCTCCAATGGTTGGAATAAAGCCCCTATCTACGGCAAGCAAAAGACAAGCAACGGACAGCGTGACCAGGGAGACGCTCAAGCACGTCTAGGACTAATCCTGGGCAACGACGTCTGAGTGTAAGACCATGGCCCTCCCTGGTTTTGTTAGTACTTGATCATCAGCCTAAGCTGCAATGAAACCCTCAAATATAGTCGGTTTTAATCCGCTGCCACCCGTATGCGCTCAGTGGACGAGACATCTTCAGCTGTGCCCAGAAGGGACAGCCTGTCCGGAACTTCTTATCGATCCAGAAAATGGGTGCATCAGCAGAGTGATACTTGGTCTTTGCTGTTGATATCTACCCACGAACGACAAAAACACACAAACAAGTCGACATATCACCTAGATCATCCGTCTTTTACTGCGAATATTCGCATGTTGGTGAACTTCAGGCGAAGCCGGTAAACCAGAATTTGACTGATAAACGTACAGTGGAAGCTCAGTATACTTAGCCGAGTTCCTTGTCACTCCGTGAGAGACTGTCTGTGGAGTTGATCTGTGGACTAGTCTTTGTACTAGCAGTCCTCACATCTTGAATGCAACCATGTGAGAAGCATACCTGGTGAATAATCACTGAAATAAACGTGGGTTTCTTGCATGCATGGATAGAGGGATAAAATCAAAAGTGAGAACACGAATTGGCGTAGAGAATTCAGTCCTCCCAGGCAGCGTCGTTGCATTTCAACGTCTTGGTTCGTGGTGTTGATGTGCGGAACAACGGACACGGTGGGTTGGGTCAGCGCAGTGCCGAGGACTGCCCGGCTGGCGACCATCGACCATCCTAAATGTGACAAGCATCAGAAACAGATACAGTAGTATTCTCCCCTTCTGATCCGAATTCTATCTTATGGTGATATGCCATATCTTGGAACCTATTGGCAAGTATACGAGATGATGGTTGATGGTGTCTGTGGGGAGAACGTCAAGTTGTGGCTTCCATTCCTGCTCCGACTCGCGGAGACAAGAAAGACCGCTCCGACGGCACGTGATTTGACCTCGGCCAACCCCCCTCCAACAGCTGTTGACGGAGGATGGTTGAGTACTTTTCTCATCTTAACAGGTCTAGGTAATTTCATACAAAAGATGAATCTTACATGGTGCTATTTAGAAGTATTGAGTACTACTTACATCGTCCGCTTTGAAAGAGCGATACCATATTCACACTGACAGAAACCGCCGGAACCACCCACGAAGCTGCACCGATTCTCCCAATCTTAAGTCATCACCTACATGCTTTGAACATAACAGGCCTGGTTGTACCTCAGTCATGCAGTCGTTCAGTCATGAAGTCATTTCACGTTCACGATCTGCATCCAAGGCAAGTTCCCAAACTCCTTCATGATCTCCTCATGCCACCTGTATGGTGAAGCATCCTCCTTGGGCTCAAGCCCATCAGATAGAATGATGTCCACGTACATACGCTGCACGTCAAGGTTCCGGCCTTTGATCTCCCTCAAAACAAGCTCGTCCGGTCGCTGAAATTTGACATTTCTTGCCATTCGGCCGTATCCTTCCCACTGTAGAGAACCAACTTCATTAGGTGGCACCCCGAAAACAAACAAACCCGCTTCATGTGCCCGGGGGATATACTGCCAGCGCACGTATGCCTTGAGTGTCTCGTAATGCGTAGTCAACGCGCCCTCCCTGAGTACATCCGACAGCAGAGTCAAGCTGGGCTGGGCCATGAGCAGACGTCTCATGCTACCTTGCTTTTTCCTCGCGCGGCTGTCCGTGAAGAGCATATCCAGCTGCACGATGAAATAAGCTGCGAGGAATAGATCGTTGTCAGTCCACAGTGTCTTCTTTCTGATTGTCCAGGTCCGACGTCTGTTGTCAGGAATGTCCATCAAGAACCAGAGCTTCTTCACAACCGTGGCACATCTGTTGGGCAGTTTCCAGCCCTTGTCAGCCATGCGCTCCATGATGTCCTTGACGACCGCCTCGCGGAACAAGATCATCTTCAACCACCGAACTGAGGGTATGATGTAAGTTACATCGTTCAATTTCAGCCCGGGTGGCGCCGACCAGCGATCACAAAGTCGATTATAGCAAAGAAACGGAAATGTGCACAGTGATTCGGGCGCTTTCTGTGCCGCCTTACGCATGACGATTATTGCGAGAACGCTCCTCACAAATTGATGGACACGCTTGCAGCTAAGATGCAGATTGACCACATCCTCTATTTCAAGATAATCAAAAACCAAAAACGCCAAAGACGGATGGCAAATGAGGGACTTGAGCATGTTGTAATTATGGCGCCTGCTGCTTTTGCTTGCGTTGCGAGTGTGCTGTGCGGCGTTGTTTGCGCTCTGCGCTGCGGCAGCCGGTATGGCCGAAGACTGCCTAGTGTCTGTGCCATTGGATGCAGACCTATGCCCGCCGTTGGGAGGCTGAGGCGCAGTATGCGGTTGGAGAAGCAGACGTCTGTGCCCGGTTGCCTGGAGTACGGTCTTCCGAATGCCAGTATGGTCAACTTGATTTGCAAGGACCTCCTCAGGCTCAGGAGACTCGGTTTTGATTTGGGGTGCTTTGCGCGACAGACGCTGTGGCCCAGCAGTCTTCTCAGGATTTCCATCATGTCTCGCTATCATATTATTTGCGGGCAAGTTCACATTTCTTTCCGCTATAGTCCTTGCGGGTAGAAAATATGGGCCTTGAGGCTGCCGCCCATTGGGCTGCATAACCGCTGGTAAGACCACTCTGTTTTGAGCAGGCATGTTTGCATCCAAACCAGCCATTGCTGCTGCGTTAGGATGATCTCTGTTCAAGGGTCGTTGAACATGAAATTGGCCAGCTTCCTGTGGCATCATAGGCCCAATAGGAGGACAATGACACTGAGGTGCTCTAGCGGCTTGAGCAGGGATACCAGGTGCAACAGCAGGATACGGAACACCAGGTGGCGCCGTAGGTGCCGGTACATTGGGTATGTTCTGCTGAACAGGCAACATCGGAAACGGGTGAAACACGCCGTTGAATGCCGCGGGAGGTATGACAGGAGCATAAACACCTTGGTTCGTTATCTGCACCAGTGGTGGGACGGCTTGACGTCCATGCTGCGGTGGTCCTCTCATCATGATAATGTCTTGGGGAGCCACACCTGCAAGGATCTGTTGTCTGATCAGATATGCCTGCAGCGCCTCCTGGCCCGTCAAAGCAACTCGCTGCGCTGCGGCTGGGTTGGCGTTCCAATAGGGGCCCGCTTGCATTGCCGGCACGGCAGCATTCGCCGGTTGCTGTGGACCGGTTTGAGGCATCTGCATCCTGCCACCTGCCTGGGCCAATGTCGTGTTCTGACGAGGACGAGGATTGGCATTCGCGGGCACACCCCGGTTGTTCTGCGTTTGGTAGTTACTCTGATCGTTTTGTGTCTGCATGTTTGTGTTTGATGGCTGCCTCGGGCCTGCTGCGCGCTCTCCATACCCCCTGGAGAGGAGGATTAGAGCTTCGCCGGCCTCCAACTCATCAGGAGTGCGTTCAGGCCTGGTAGGTGCTTTGGACTGTTTGAGGTCCGCTAAATATACCTGTTGTTAGCGGCAATACTTTCCCATTTCATGAGCACCTGGAGTCAACTCACTCTGAATAGTTCGTGCCATTGACCTTTACTCCTAGACACTCGGGTGCGATGAAGGCAAAGATAGCCTAGTCGTAGGTAAATGAGCACTGTCTATAGGAGATGCCGAGCAAGATACTGACTTGAAGGAAATGTTTGTTAAGAGATACAGAGGATGGGTAAAGGCGCGTCAAGAGAAGAGCGATAAACAAGGAAGAGATGTAAACAAAGGACTCGAGATCCTCGTGCAGTGAATTTTGACGCGCGCGTTGAAAGTGAATATCCAGAACACCAGCACCTGACTAAGACCAGCCGTCCAAAGCACGATGCTTGAGCCCTCACTACTGCGTCACCACAGTTGGAGATGGCAGATCTCCGTTGACATTCACCTTTCCAACTGAAGGTGGTTAGAGCACAAAATGGGCCATGGACGGTTTTACCGTGTTAGGTATCAATCCAAGAAGATGCGTATTCATCAAAAAGTTTTGTAGCGATGAGCTTATAGTATGCAGAATATGTAGTAGACAAAGTCAGTTTCTGAACTTGCAAGTGATTGCAGTGTTGAATCAATCAAACACGCCAGCCAAGCGACTAGGTCCGAGTCCAACATCGAGGATATGGTATATAGGACGCCTAGATGTTAGTGAGGATCTGTATTTCGTTCTATCTGTCTTTGTCCTGGCACCCATCAACAATCCTCCAGCTCTGTGTGTATAAATAAATCAAAATTCGTAAGATGCCTCGAAGATCCGGACCAACAAAGACGGAAGAGAAAATTATACATAGTATTTGCATATGCAAAGATGAAGAGGGTCTTTTGTGTGTAATAAGAAAAACAGAACTCCTTGTTCACGACATCATCCAGGAAACAGAATGCCAACACCCGACGACCTGTTGAAAGGTAACCACCATAAACTCCTTATGCAAATCGTTAATGTCATCCACTGTTAAAATGGGGTAACAAATCCTGAAAACCCAGATATTCTGAGTCAGTATGAGCGTCACTTTCTATTGAGGAGCGTCAAGAACTCTTCCCGAGTCTTCGCGCTGGACCGCATGCAACCAAGCATACAGCTGGTTGTCGTGGTGCTGCTGGTCTTCTGTACACCACGCATCACCATACAAAGGTGGGAAGACTCCATAACGACACCAACGCCGCGGGGCTTCAGAACCTCCGAGATGGCGAGGGCAACTTGCTTGGTGAGACGTTCTTGCACCTGAAGTCTTCGGGAGAACATCTCCGCCAGTCGGGCTAGCTTAGAAAGACCGAGCACCCGACGGTCAGGGATGTATCCAATATGCATCTATATCCCAAGGAATTTCATCAGTGGACATATTCGAAAAGCATGGATGACATTCTTACCTTTCCAGTAAAAGGTACCATGTGATGTTCGCAGAGTGAGAACACCTCAATATCCTTGACAATGACCAGCTCATCGTGGTCCTCATGGAAAACTGCTCCATTGACGAGATCCCTGACATTTTCTTCGTAACCTTTGGTGAAATAGAGCATAGCCTTGGCATATCTCTCGGGGGTCTCCCGCAGACCTTCTCTCTCCGGGTCCTCTCCAATGCATTCAAATATGGTTCTTACAGCACCTGCAAGTTTCTGAATGCGCTCTTCAGTTTGTTCAGGAGTAGATTCCAAACGTGCTCTCGTGCCGGGGCCTATTCAGAAGTCAATTAGACAGCAATCCAAGAGCCAAGCCCACGATAGGGACTTACAAGGCCAACTCAACCCGTCGAAGTCAATTGGAGGGTTCGAAGTGTACGGGCTAGACGGTCGACTGGCACTTGCCGGGGGGGTTAAAGCACCGCCCTCATCTCTGGGGTCTCGTGGGGGATCGCTCAAGGTAGGCCTGGATGAAAAGGATCAGCTTTGTTCTGTTTGATCAGCAAGAGCTGATCTACCTGACAAGGCCTGAACTCCGAACAGGTCCATTATAGGTATCGGCGGCATCGCTGACATGATGAGGTTCTATTTCCGGCAAGTTGAACTCAGCGGGGATGCGAGGAGCAAAAGAGGAGCGGATAGATGAGTTTAGACTCTCGCGCTCACGAGCGTCACGACCGCCAGTGGTATTGGAAGGGTGAAGAGGAGAGCTACCATTCAAAAGGTGAGATGGAATAGCAGACTTCGGCTTTGGGCCTGGAGGAGGAGATCCGGAGCTCATGGCTGATCCTGGAGGTAATCGAAGATACAAAAGTGGAGGGGCGATAGGGAGGGTGAGATTTGTTGTGGTAAGAGGATCGGCCGGACGGCGCCTTGATCACAGAGTCAATCAGATGGGTAACCGAATCGAGCGCTCAGAACAGGACAATAGAGGACGTCCTAGATTGAGCAAACAAGCAGCGAGGGAATAATAATCATCATTTATTGCGAGGAGAGGGAGAGGAGGGGGAGAAAGTTCAGGTCAACGGTCGGCGTTTTGAATTACTAGGCCGTTAGCTAGTAATTCTTCTTTTTCGGAGGAACTAGACCCCTCCGAAAGTCGTCCAACGCCGATCTGATTTCATCGGCGACTCTCACCGCCTGGCTCAGGAGACAAAATGATTGGTGCATAAACAACCGTTGGAGAGATAACTGCAGGCGGGGGGTTTTGGCTAGTCCCAGATTGGCGTAGTTCTGGTTAGATTAGTGGCCTGAGGCCATTGCCTCCTGCGCTGATTACTCTGCTTATAACACTCAATTAGTCAATTGCTCATAGGATTAGTTGACTCATCGCCTATGACATGCAATGACGGTCATTATATTGCCTCCATTTGAGTCTTGGATAAGGAACAATGTGAGATGGAAACGAAACATCAAGTTCTGTCCTGAATTAATTCAAGCGTATATATGGCGTGCCATCTGCCATGCATGGTTGCAGTAGCCTCGGCATGCCCAGGTATATGACGGCAATTATTGTTATCTTCAACAATGAGAAGTCAGATATACTAGAAGTGTATGGATATCCAATTGAGGGGAAAGGAGTGTCCGACTCTTTTACGGTTTGGCCTGACCTGTGCTTGGTTCGCAATGGATATCTAGAGAGGCATGATCGAGTCATATAACAATTCTATATTTCTTCCACCATAGACGATCGAATAGTTGCTGAGTTACGAGGAAGAGAATGGCACCCCGAATTGTCCTGACCAGGGGTGGCAGATAAGGCCAGTCTAAAACTCGGTTGTTCCCCTGTTTGTTTTCGCTACAATTTCAATCATCGAAAGGAAACGTACCGGATACATTCAGCTTTTTTTCCCTTTCCTGAACGTCTTCGCACTTGATATTTTAACAATTGCCCTAATATGCACAGATATGCTGTATACTGTAGACAATGTAATTGACTAGACCTCACCGTACAGGTATCAATATTCTGGAGATCATCCTCCATCAAGTCTCTAAATCAGGGTTCCAGCTCCTCGGTTGGCACATCCTCCAAATCCTTGCCAACAATCGCATCGGCGACCTTCCATACTTGGAGTAGATTGTCCTCGGCAGCAGAGCAAAGAACCCACGGATCGTTCAGATTCCAACTGAAGTCAGAAATGCGGTTGGTATGCCCGCCGTGCTGGAAGAGACTGCACAGGAAATTAGTATCGAGTAGACGAACAATAGAAACGATGCTAGATTGACATACAGCTCTGGGGGGCCGTCTTGGGCATCTTCAGGAGTCTGTTCCTCGCCTGCCCTACTGAGATCCCAGAAAGCGATCTTACGGTCATAGCTCGCGCTGGCCAGAACAGCTTCTTCGAAAGGATGCCATGAGATTGAAGTAACCGAGTCAGTGTGGCTTTCCAACGAGTGCAGTTTAGTTTTCAAGTTTCGCAGATCCCAGAGACCTATCGTTTTATCGGCAGATCCCGTTGCTAGAACGGTCTCGGCGGCGGGATTGAAAGCAATGGCATTGATGGCGTCGCGGTGTTGACCCTCTGCAGATGCAGCTGCACGAGTTGTCTCTGATTCTCGAATGTCGAGAATCTGAAGAGTGATGTCATCGGATACAGTGCCAATAAGGGACGAGTGAAGAGGATGATACTGAACGTCGTTGACGATGGACGAGTGGTGAGTGTAAGTTCTGGAAGGCTTCAGTAACTTGTTGCCCTTTGAATATGTCGTCAAATCCCTGTGTCAAATGATCAGTTACCAGTGCAAGCAGAGCGAATACAACTTTCTTACCAAATTCGGACAGTCTTGTCCTCGCTACCGGTAACCAGTTGTCCCGCAGTATGCGGACTCCAGCTGAGACCGAATCCTTCTTTCGTATGGCCGATGAGCTCCATCTGAGGGTTGACTTGGCCCGTTGGCAGACTCGGGTGTTTCGAGCGATCCCAGACCATGACCCTGCCGTCTGTGCACATGGTAGCGATAATGTTGGGATTCTGTGGCTGATACCGGGCCTTGTTGACTTCACCCTTGTGATCAATCTTCTGCACGATGTTGAACTTGATTTCCATGGGCGCCTTCTTAGAGCTGCCGCCATACCCTCCGATTTCCCCGCGCTCCTCATCGTAGTCGTCCGGATTGGGGGCAGATGGATTGGGGAGTTGGACATGAGCAATTTGCAAGTAATTTTGCGCATCGCTGGAAGTGTGTGTGCCGATCAGTAGGCGATGAGTAGAATACGGTTTATCCGGGACCCTGAAAACGAGTCAGTATATTGTTGCGCGCGAAGCAGATGGACGATGTACATACTCTTGCTTATCGGGAAGCCATTGTGTTGTGAGTGTGGGCCATTCTAGTGCTGTGCTCAGGATCATGTCGTAAAGAAAAGGTGCATTCTTCTTCCATGTCTTGTATTCTGATCAAGGTCCGCATTAGTCACAACTAAGCGACGCCAGTCAACGAGGTCGATCTAGAATACCTTCGTTGATAATCTTCTCCTCCGTACGCTCTTCTTCCTGTTCCTCATGCTCCTCAACAACGGCTGCGACGAAGAATGTCAGTTATTATCGCACAAAGAGAGGTAATTCGGAGGATGTACCGTCGTCGTAGGGCTCCATGATGTCCTGTTGGTGCACGGAATACTTTCTGAAATCCAAATAGACTAATTCAGCCCGCAGAAAAGCGAATATCAGGGTGATTGGCAAGGTATAGGAGCTTCAATGGGATCGGAGTAGAGCTTTGACTTGTGCATCGAGCTCTCACACTTGAGAAACGCGACCTTCCCGTCGGCAGCGCGTTAATTGGCGCCGTAGTCGGCCATTCCACCTTAGGACTAGCGGCTTGGCTATATGGCCTCGGAGCCGGCTCTACTCCGTAAAGGTCGCAAAGCGGTCACTTGGAAGAGTCACTGCTTCAGATTCATTATCACCACATTATTGAACTGCTATTCCTCTAGAAGGCGCCTCAGCCGCCTATTTCGCTTTTCTAGGCTTCCAGTGCTAGTATTTTTTTCTTTTATTCTTCGTCTTTGTGTCTTACATTCCCTGAAGATACCCAGTCGTTCCTTTTTTGTCTACGACTATATTACCATTCAGTGAATGGTTCGCCTCCGAGCTTGGGTTCTTCATCGAGTTTTGACGACCAGTTACGACGAACGACGACGACAACTGTCTGCGACGCTGCCGCGCCTGATTTGACTGACCAACTTCATTCTTATTAGAATACACTTCGCATTCATTCGCCATGGGTGTTCCCAAGTTCTTCCGCTGGCTCAGCGAGCGCTACCCCACGATCTCCATGTTGATCGCGGAGAATCGGATACCTGAATTTGATGCGCTTTATCTCGACATGAACGGTATCATTCATAATTGTACACATAAAGACAGCGATTCTCCCACGTTTCGCATGACGGAGGATAAGATGTTTATAGCGATCTTCAACTATATCGAGCATCTGTACGGCAAGATCAAGCCAAGGAAATTGTTCTTCATGGCGGTTGACGGTGTCGCTCCTCGCGCGAAGATGAATCAACAGCGTGCGAGACGGTTTAGAACAGCCCTGGATGCTGAGGTTGCAAAGGAGAAGGCCATAGCCCAGGGAATAGAGATGCCGAAAGAGGATCCATTCGACAGCAACTGCATCACTCCCGGTACGGAGTTCATGGCAAAGCTCACGCAACAACTGAAGTATTTCATCAACAAGAAAATCTCAGAGGACAAAGATTGGCAAGGGGTAGATATTGTGCTGTCGGGTCATGAGGTACCGGGAGAAGGTGAACATAAGATTATGGAGTATATCCGGCATGCGAAAGCGCAGCCAGGGTATGACCCCAACATTCGTCACTGTCTCTATGGTCTTGATGCGGACTTGATCATGTTGGGCCTTCTTAGTCATGATCCTCATTTCTGTCTCCTTCGTGAGGAGGTGACATTTGGTCGCCAAGTCCAGAAGAAGCCTAAGGAACTTGAGCACCAAAACTTCTACCTCTTGCATCTTTGTATGGTTCGAGAATACCTGGAATTGGAGTTTCAGGAATTGGAACAGGAGGGAGTTCTGGATTTTCCCTTTGATATGGAACGGGTCATCGATGACTTTATCCTGATGGCTTTCTTCGTTGGAAACGATTTTCTACCTAATCTTCCTAATCTGCACATCAACGAGGGAGCCCTCTCGCTAATGTTTAAGATCTACAAGGACGTCTTGCCAAAAATGGGTGGCTACGTCAACGAGGGAGGTGTCATCAACCTGAAGCGCCTCGGTATGCTTATTGAAGCTCTGAGTGATGTTGAGTTTCGCTTCTTTGAAGCCGAATACTCTGACGCGAGGTGGATTAACGCCAAACGGAATGGCGTCGAGAACGGTTCTGAGTTCCAAGAGAAGCCAAAGGGTTTGACTCTCACGCCAGCCCAGAAGGAGCTTTTCAAAGAAATCAAAAAGTATGTTTTGAACAGGCCTGAGAAGGCATCAGGTTCAAAACCCCTAGATCTTCCTCCCACACTACCGGCTCGTGATCGCAAGTTTGTGGAGCAACTTGCAGACGACCTGCGACTACCGTGGACCACAGTTGCGGACGAACACGGAGACCGATTCATCAGACTTCAGCTGCCTGCCAACGAGGATGACGACAGCGAAGAGGAGGAAGATGAAGAGGCGTCTATGGCCGTACAGCGTGTCATTCGGAGATATGACAATGCGAAGGTCCAGGAGATTTCCCCCGAGGAAGCCCAGAAAGCAGCAGAAAAGAAGTACGAGGAAAAATTCCAGGACTGGAAAGACAAATATTACATGAGCAAATTTGGATGGGGTCTCGACAATCACGAGGAAATGCGGAAACTGACGGAAAATTATGTGCAAGGTCTTCAATGGGTTCTGTATTATTATTACAGAGGCATTGCGTCTTGGCCCTGGTTCTTCAAGTATCATTATGCGCCCATGATTTCTGGTATGTGCTGGCTACTCATCTGAGATAATAACCTTTCTTCTCCCAGTTGTTACCACGACTTTCCTAAGCATCTCATTCTTTTGCTGACCATGACTAGACGTGATCAAGGGTCTAAACGCGGACATGAATTTCAAACTGGGCCAACCGTTCAAGCCTTATGAGCAGCTCATGGGTGTCTTACCTGACCGAAGCAAGCAGATTGTGCCTGCCGCGTTCCGGGACTTAATGACGTCCCCAGAATCTCCCATCATCGACTTCTATCCGCGTGATTTTGAATTGGATATGAACGGCAAGAAGATGGAATGGGAGGCTGTTGTCAAGATTCCATTCATTGATGAACATCGCCTCTTGGAAGCTCTTGCCACCAGAGAGCTCCTCTTGACCCCGGAAGAAAAAGCGCGAAATGGGTTTGGAGTTAGTCTCAAGTTTACTTACTCTCCGGAAGTGAACTTCACCTACCCTTCATCTCTCCCTGGTGTCTTCCCTGATATCCCCAGCTGCCATTGCATTGAGAACATTTTTGATCTGCCTACCATGGATGGCTTGGAACCTTATATTGGCTTGGTCGAGGGTGTCCAGCTTGGAGCGGCTGCATTGGCTGGTTTCCCAAGTTTGAAGACTCTACCCCACGTAGGCCAGCTTGGTTTCCACGGCGTGTGCGTTTTCCAACAGGAGAGTCGCAACGAGAGTATGGTTATCACTGTACTCGACCCGGGGAGCAGATCGAGTATTGAGCTGGCTAAGCAGAAGCTTGGGAAGCGTGTCTTTGTCGGCTACCCCTTTCTGCAGGAAGCTCTTGTCATCCGTGTATCTGATGAGCTGTTCGATTATCTCCTTCCGGAAGGAGAGAACCATGTGGTTTCCATTCCTCACACTGAGGCCCAAATCGATCAGTGGAAGAAGAAGGCAGATAAGATCGAAGGGATGTACAGCCGCAGACTTGGCACTATTATTGGCCCCGTTGAGTCAATGGTGCACGTTCAACTTCTCAAGGGTCTGATCAAAACAGACGAGGGTGCTACAATCAAGGAATTCGCCGATATTCCAGGGCAGGAAACCGACTATGCGCTACAGCTCGTCGTGGACGAAGTTATCAACCCCGATGAGCGCTTCATCGAACGTGATGCCCTGCCCATCGAGAAGGAATTCCCGGAAGGCTCGCGTGCCTTTTTCTTGGGCGATTTCAATTATGGTAGACCAGTGCACATTACAGGACACGAAGACGGCAAGGTTAATGGGTTGATTGCTGCAATCAAGGGCCGCGAGCCAGAGTTTGGGAAAGATCGCGCTAGAGAAGCGGAGAGGCTATGCCCCTATATGCCCTCATTTGCTATTGCTCGCAGCCTGCGTTTGAATCCATTGGTATTGGCAAAGATCACCTCCTCATTCTCTGTTGACATGGAGGGGCAGCGCGTCAATCTGGGTCTGAATCTCAAGTTCGAAGCGAGAAAACAGAAAGTCCTTGGCTACTCCCGTCGCGGGGAGTCTGGCTGGGAATTCAGTCCGAAGGCAGTCGATCTTCTCCAGCAGTACATGATTAAATTTCCAGAGTTCATTGCTGGTATCCAGCGTAACCCTCAGAAGGACCGTTACCAGCCGGCAGATTTCTACCCGGAGGACGTCGCACTTGTGAAGATGAAGGAAATCAGAGATTGGCTCAAAGCGATGGAAGCCAAAAAGTTTGAGAGGGTTCCTCTTGAGGCTGAGCAGTTGGATTCTGATGTTGTGAAGTTGATCGAACAGGACGCGGATCAACTTGTGCAGAGTCAACCTCCGATGCAGCCTAAGAAGATCAGAGGTGTCCCCCGAAGCGCGCTTCTGCGGCCTTCGGATGTCGAGCAGCGTTTGCAGAATCAAACTTTCAAGCTTGGAGATCGTGTGGTCTATGCTCAAGATTCTGGTAAGGTGCCCATTGCCACTCGAGGAACAGTTGTCGGCCTCACTCGGACGCCCCGAGCCATGTTGCTTGACGTTGTCTTCGATGTTTCCTTCATGAGCGGAACCACTCTGGGAGACCGCTGCTCGCCATTCCGCGGTCAAACTGTCTTGGCGTCGTCCGTTCTCAATGTTTCTTATCGTCAATTACTCGCCAGCACACGGGCTGCCGCCAGTCAACAGGCACAGACCCAACCTCCGCCTTTGACTGTGGCAGGATACGGTGCTCCGCTTGGTCCTAATGGGCTGGGCCAGCTGAAGGAGGCTGCGGCTCCTCCTCCATTGACCAACTCATACCGTGGCGCTGTCTCGGGCTTGGGTAATACACGAGGAAATGGTGCTCCTCATAGAGGACGTGGAGGTCGCGGTGCCGCGAACGGAGGATCGCCGCAAACTACTTTACCGTTCCGCCCCCACCCTACCAGCGGTGACGGCGCTGAACAACGCGGCGGCAGGGGTCGTGGAGGCATGTACCGTACTCGTGCGGGGTATGTATCCGTGGATAACAGCAACCCCGAGGCAGGTGTGATCAGAAACAACCCTCACTTCCGGCCTCAGAATTACTCCCAGGTGCCGCCTCCCAAGGCATTGAATCGTGGCAGTGGACGTGGGGGCCGGGGCGGTTTCCGCGGGTCGGATAGAGGAAGCGGGTCCAGAGGAAGGGGTGGTCACCGAGGAAGAGGTGCAGCTATTGTAAACACTGAGTAAACGATGTGTTATGGTGCTCCAGTTGGACTTTTAACAGGGTATCATATCTCGGTTATGGCATGGTTGGGTGTTGACGGTAACTTGTCTGTCATTTGACCGGCTTTGTGGCATAAGGCATAGATGACCATAGACAATTTACTGTGGAGAGTGCTCTCCTGTACCAGAGTCAAATGTGAACCAACATTATTCTCTTCCATAGTTAAGTCCGAGAGGTTATCATCTGTTAAGCATTTTCCCCCCACGGTAATCCGCGCTTCGGATGTGGAGAAATATCCGCACTCATAGTTGGGACGATCGACCAACCGGATATTGCAGTATCTTTGGGGTAGCTCTTTGATGCGGGGAGATATGCAGGATGGTGCATTGTCTATTATTGCAGTGGTCTTCTTCTTCATTCAGCTGAACTGACTCTTTTCTATAATTATCTGTGCCATATTCCAGAAAAGTATACAGACATGGCATCTGTAACCACTCTCCCCACCTTCGACAACCTCACCATCGACCCCTCAGGGCCACCAGGGAACGCATGGGGTCTATTTGGCAAGCACAACGAGCTGGGGATGCTGAACCTGCTCACTCCCGAAACAGTGCGCAGGGCAGCATCAGAGGAGATTCGAGACGGCGTACGATTCTCGCTTGATCTGCCACTCGACCGAATCAAGAACCCCAGTTTCGGGCGCAAGCCGTTTGCGCAGGAGTTGGTCAACAAGGCGCCACGGATTGTGAATGATGATATCCTTGTCTTCAATACGCAGTGTAGTACGCAGTGGGATGGATTTAGGCATTATGGTAAGCTTGTGCCTGACCACCAGTACGCTGATGCGAGTTCGAGGAGTAGGCTGAGAGACGCACTGCGCGGTAGGGAACCATACACGTAAATGCTACTTTAACGGGCATTCACTGGGGGACTTGAAAACCTCCCCTGTGATAGGGATTGACGGTAAGTCTGCCTTACACAATCCGATACACTTCCAACTCAAAGCTCTAGCATGGGTCAAACACGGCGGCATCGTCGGCAGAGGCGTGCTAATCGACTACGCCTCGTGGGCAACCAAGAACTCCATCCCTCTCAGCCCCTTCACCACAACCAAGATCCCCATCTCAGCAATCAAGCAGATCGTCAAAGAGAACGATATCCGATTCCGCCCCGGCGATATCCTCTTCCTCCGCACAGGCTTCACAACCGCCTACGACAAGCTCTCCCCGGACGAAGAGCTGGCCATCTCTCAGCGTGAAACGCCTCAATTCGCAGGACTCGAGGCCGGAGAGGCTACTCTGCGCTGGCTGTGGGAGAATCAGTTCGCTGCCGTAGCGAGTGACTCGCCCAGTTTCGAGCCTTCACCCATCGCGGGCCCTCAAGGTCCGCCGGAGTTTCAGCTGCACCAGTGGTTGCTGGCAGGCTGGGGGATGCCTATTGGGGAGTATTTTGATCTCGAGGGAGTGGCGGAATATTGTGCGAAGACGAATCGGTGGAGTTTCTTCCTGTCGAGTGTGCCGTTGAAGGTGAGTCAGCTTGTTATGTTGTGCTTTCGAATAGTGGGTGAGTGGGTTGTACTGACGAGATCGATCTATACCAACAGGTTCCTGGGGGCGTGGCGAGTCCTCCTAATGCGGTGGCTATCTTCTAGTCATTTCATACATATATCTTCATATAGGGAGATCTGATATAATGGGTCGGATAGTTGAGATAATGAAATGTTTCATTTGTATTCCCTTCGTCTGCGCTAGGTAGCATGGAAAATAACCGAAATAACGGAGATGCCAGTTCACATAGGTGCCCAATAAATGAGTGGAGATTCAAAAATTCAAAAATTGAAAGCAATATCCAGTCTGACCATCTATCCTTCGAAAACTCCTTCAGGAAACCATACGTCCAAGTGAAAACCCAAAATCTCTGCCATCACTCCAGTCTCCCCTATCAAACGACGTTTCTCTTCTTGAGAAGAATTTTGGCGTGCATGTTGGGCATAATCTGCTCCCCAAGAGTGAGGTTCCTCGGTCTTCTGTTGTTGTCATCCTCGAATTTGAACTCGTAGTCTGCAATCAAGCGACTCAAGATCGCCTTGTTCGTGTTCGCAGCGAAGAAACGGCCAGGGCAGGCTTGTCTACCGTAGCCGAAATGCATGTTTGATGGACTGATGCTGACAAGGCTTGTGCTTCTTGCTTCGGGATCTTCGCACCAACGGAATCCTTTGAAGGTAAGAGCATCCTCAATAATAGAGTCATCCATACCCATGGGCTTTGAAGGGAAGCAGATGTGCGTGCCTTTCTCGAGAACCAGGCCATCAGAAAGAACCATCTTCTCCATAACCATGCGGTGAGTAGACACTGACAGGGGCAAACTGTTAGCATAACGAGTACAACGCTGCGCATGAAAAAGGATGCACTCACGTTCTCCAGTGGGGTTGAAACGCTGTGATTCTCTCATAAAGCTGTCCAGGCGACGCTGAGAGGCGAACGAAGCCTGAGTCACCTTGTCCCACCCGTCTTTCACAGTCTCGCGGACCTCCTCCCTGAGAGGCTCAATGTACTCGGGTCGAACCATAAGATCGTAGATAGCATGGGTCATCAGCATAGAGCTCGTGTGGACAACAGCCAAAGCCATCACAATAAGCAACATCTGAGAGATATTGGCAGGGTCCTTATCGAAGCCATCCTCTGCAAGGTCCATCATCCACTGAAGAAAATCGTCCGGCTTCTGATATGCGGGATCATTCATTTCTGCCTCGCGACGTGCCAAGATCATCGGGATGAAAAGCTCTTTCTGAACGAAGCGCAGCTGAGTGCGGAGTTTCCTGACGCTGGGAAGCACCTTGGCAACCAAAGGACGCATGAAGTTGGGGAACGGACGGAGCAAAATAACAGTGACCCCGAGATTGACCGTGTAGCTGGTGACTGTTTCCAGCCACTGTGGGTTGCGGCAGATGCTCTCTCCAACAATCACGCGAGAAGTAGCCCGAGTGACAAGGCCCAGGATCATGTCGTAGAGGTTGACCGGGACCCAGTGATCTATAGCGGTGGTCAGTCTGGTGCTTACCTAGCTGATGAGGAATGAGTTGGACATACCATCACAGTCAGGCACTTCAACCTGGAATGCGAACTGAAGTTCATCGAGAAGACGAGGAAGAATTCGGCCTTGAAGTTGCCATTCGTCAGCATTAGACATTCAAGCAGATGTATACAAAGCATGTACTTACCGATAGCTGGAGTCAGACCCTTGTGAACCGTCTTCACAGGTAAATGGCTATCAACAAGAACATTGGTGTATTTGCCAAGGATGTTCTAAAATGCGAGGCGTCAGTTTATTCTTACCTCAAAGTTAGAAAGACCGCAACATACCTCGAATTGCGCATCGACGCCGCTGAGCTTGGATGGAGGCAAGTGACGAATCTCCGGAAGATACTTTGGAGGCAAAACAAGCAAGTCGCCGTCCGCTTTGAGGACACGGTAGGGCTGGTCTCTGTACTGCAAGGCCGGTCAGCTGAGAATGACAGATATGAGCGGAAAGACAGGTAAGTACCTTCTCGTAACCGTACTTGATCAGGTAAGGCGCCACGAAAATGAACATGAGCCGGTTAATGAAGTCTGGAAGGAAGCGACTGAATCGGACAGTGGGGATTTCGGCTAAGGCCTCGCCTGGTGGGTAATGATAGAAATAGAGAGACGAGGAGAGTAGTAGGGCAAATGGCCAACAAGGAAGTTCGAGCACCTGGTCAGCCATGACTGACAACTTGACAACCTGATGGTGCGAGGCTGTGCTAATGATGTTTCATTCAGCGATCGATTGGTATGATGAAGCGCTATGGGGGTATATGAGCAGAGTAGTGGCGTAGGGTGAAGGAGGTAAGAAGAGAGAAGCTCGCGAGATGCATCGATAGGGAAGAGTATTTCTATGTGTGCAGCAAGCGAGGCAGAGTGAATGAGCAAACGATCAGCCACGGAGAGAGCCGCTAACGAAAGGAACTAGAATGCTCGATATGTCCAGAGCAGTGAATGTTGTGCTAGATATGCAGTTACCAGACGGCATACTTCCTTATGTGAAGTCCCTAACGGGCATATCCGCCTAACAGTGAGCATAAGTGAGAGCCGGGCTCATTACTTTCCGCTATGGTGCTATTGAATGAGAACGTTGTGGAAGACAAATGTCCAAGGACGAGCTTGCTAGATCATCAATAGTCTATTTGAACGGATATGCTATTAGCACATGCTATCCAAGGAACAACAGGGCTATACAAAAGACTCTAGGACTTTTACTTGTTCCCTTTTCCAGGTATATCAAAACAATCGAACGCCAGACGCAGATGCAAGAAGAGAAGATGAGAATGCGAGAGGAAGGGCAAATGAGGTGTATATAGGTACAAGACGAAGTGAGTGAGATCATTCGAGGCCAACCCATTCCCCCTCCTTATCGTCGCCATCTGCATCAGACATGCGCTCATCCTTGCCGTCCATGATTATAGCATCATAATCCTGAATAGCTTTCGGAGCGCCATTTATTTTATCTGCAAGTACCGGTTTCGAGAGGAGATAATTGAGATCGTACACATTCTTCTCCGTCAACTTCCTCAAATTCTCCCGAATGTCATCAACAGCCCGCTGTATGGCACGCAGTTCTGTTGCGAGCGTGCCTGAGTTATCCTTGAAGTAGCGACCATGGATGCTCAGGAGAGATTCAATCCACCGCAAGTTGAACTCCAGGTGAGGCGTTTCTTCAGCAGCCTGGGCTACGAACCGCAGGAAGCGAGAAAGGTAGACAGTGGGCAGTGCGCGTACGACAAGAGAAATCTCTGAGGGTGGAATAGCCTCATAGACTGCGCGAATCAGTTTCGACTCGTTAAGACGGAAAGCCATGACCAGCGCTTTCAAGAACGTATTGTCATCGTCTGCTGTGTTGGTCGAGTGCGCCTTCTTGGCAGCGTCAAGGGTGGCAAGGATAGTGGTGGGAGTGATATCGATATCGAGGTCAAACGGATCGAAGACAAATTCGGTGTCCAGACTGT